AAATAAATAAATAAAGAAGAAAACAAATGAACAAACAATGTATAGCATAAAATGTTGCTGTTTGTACCTTTCAGTAAATATTAATTTAATATCAATTGCCATATTGAGTTTTATTCAGAGCTAGGATATTCCTGCTTTGTACTTCAGGATTATTTTGCAGATAATGGGTTGTGTGTTCCTCATAATTATTTCTCTTTTTGTTATAACATGATCTGAATAGTTTTTAAATCAACAAACAGTCAAATACCAGTCCACCATTTAGATTAATTGTCATATTACCGTTTGTTTCATATATATATAATTTGCTGTGAGATTCAAATGTGAGTTAGATCTGGATTGAATTTTTCTAGATGTTTTGCTTCACATGTCAAAAAACTAAACAATTGTTGGGATCATGGAACATTATCCACTGGTAAAATTAATTTTACCACTTAAATTAATTTATGGTCTTCTCTTTTTAGTACAAAACTCATGTATTGTTTTGTTTGTACGTAGAGAATACATAGAACTTGTTTCATGTCAAAGCAGTGAACTGATAATAAATCAGAAATTTATATGGATTCTTTACTACATACAGTGGAACATAAATGCCAAAAACTTGGCATTGCCCAATGCTTCAATGTTAAATGTGTTCAATGTTAAATGTTCAATGTTAAATGACTACTTTTGGAATACCTTTTAAAACCTAGTTCATTCATTCTACGTGTATTTTGTATTACATAAATGTATAGTTACTGAATAAAAATTAAGTATAGGACCAAGAAAAAACAGTAACCACATTCTTCCCATGCAAGGATTTATATCCTTTGTTGATGTTAGGTACATATATTGCTTCAGAATATACAAGAATCATATACAGACAGGTAAAATTTGTCATGAACATGTGAATCCACACACAAGCAGGGGAGACATTAAATGTAGTTATTTATACTACTTTGCAGTTTGCATAATATGAAGAAAATTATTTCGATATCAACACATAAAAACTTGCATTTTCATTATAAAGAGTAAATGCAATTCTGCGGTATGCATACTCCACAACATTTTGTCAAATTCTCACTGAAACAGTTTGTTTCCATTTTTCACTTTTGTTACTTGCTATAAACAGCTTTGGGCATACACACTCCAGTGCCTTTCTTATTATTTCTTCAGGAAGGATAATCCAGTCTTAATAATACAAGGGAAACTTGACTGGGCCTTTCTTTATTTTATTTTTATTTTTTAAAAATTTTTGGCAGAACTGGGGATTGAACTCTGGCCCTTGCAATTGCCAGGCAAGCGCTTATTCTACTGAGCTATCTTCCCAGGCCTGGGTATTTCTTTAGAGAGTCTTGTACCAAGGGTACCTCCCATTGTAGGCATTAGGAATTCTAGAGTTTCCAAAGGAGACTAAATTAAAGAGAATCAGCACATTTTATTTCCTGTCAAATGGGGGAGATGAAGCTTCCTAAGCCTTGGCTGTCTACATCCAAATTTGAAATGAAATTCCTAGGACACGGTTTTCATTCCTCACCATCTCTGTTTACAGCTTTGTTGAACGATGACATCTCCCAGGCTGTGACTTGTGCCAAGAGAGTTGTGCAGGATCCCCAAGGCATCAGAGCATGGTATGACTGAGTGTTAAGGGGGGTGGAGGGGGGGCTTTGCCTGCCATCAGTTTATACAGTGAGAGAAGACTTCAAAACCAAAATGTCTGTGATTGAAAACCTGGAATTTGTATTCCCTTTATACAGGACAAAATGATCTACCTTAAGTGACATAGATTATGCCCACCATATTATTATTATGCCCACCATATTATTTTACCAGATGTACACGTACATTTTAGTGGGTTATGCAGATTAAAAATTCTCCACATTTTACTATATCTGTGAGAGTTACTGGAAGTCATTTCAGTGCAAGTTAAGCATGCAGCATGCACAATCCATCATTTCTGTGCAGCATGCTGCTCTGCACTGGGAGGGTTTAGAGAGCAACACAGTGCCCTGCGCATCCCACATTCAGCAAGCAGCAGCAGCACTGGACTCTAGCTGTTCATTCCTTCATCCTAGGTGTTGTCGCTGCTAGGATTGGAACTATGTGTGCTATAATGAAGGTGGAATTTACCTTTTTCTCCGTGTCTCGTTTCTCTTTGCAGGGTGGGATGGAAAAAGAATTGTCAAAACAAAGATCTGAAACCGTACATTAATGGCTGCGGAGTTTAACCTCCCACTTTCCTTCTTCAGCTCACTGTGTCTCTTTTCTGCATAAAGGAAGTAGCAGATCATCAAAGTTTCACCCCGGCTTTCCTTCCCTTCCTAAGAAATTGTCTTCTATAAAAGCCCAACAGAAGTATACACTTTCTCCTAAGAGACTTCCTGTGCATGAATAAATCTTCTTTCATGTCATGAATAATGCAAATGATAGTGAAAATTGTTCTGATACCTTAGTTATGAATATATCTGCATAGAGATAACCACAGGCATAAGCAGCAATAATAGCAGTATTCCTCAATATTAGATCAAAATATTGATCTAATTTATCAGAAATCAAATTCATTTTAGGGAGTAACCCTGCTATATATCCACCTGATGCGTTCATCTGCTTAGCACTTTCAAACACAGTAGAATAAATTAGTGTCCTTTCTTCTCTAGTTACTGATGATTAGAGGGAGTGCATTTGGTGTATGACTTTGAACAATGCAGAAGAACTGCTCCCCTAGTGCCCTGTAGATCGTGCTCTGCCTGCTTGTGTGATTCTCAGTGCTGACCCTGAACTCCCAAGTGGATATAGCAGCATAGTGATGCTGGCCTGGCAGAACAAAATAGATGGTCACCTGTCTCTACAGACACACAAAAACTCTTAATAAGACCCTGGCAAAATGAATGCAATGCATCATTAAGATTATACACCATGACCAAGTGGTATTCATCCGAGGAATGATGGGGTAGTTAGCCATGCAAATATCAATGAGTATAATACAGTACATTAGCAGAACCAAACCTAAAATGTACACGACCACCTCAATTGCTGCAGAAAAGCTACTAACAATGTTTAACACTATTCATGGTAAAAGGAAATTATGTGTGTTACTGCAGAAAATTGGAATCAGTGGTCCTTATGTCAATCTGATACAAGCCATGCACGACAAGCCAAGAGCCAACATTATACTAAATGATCAAAAACTGCAAGCTTTCATTCTAAAACCAGGTAGAGGACAAAGATGTCCACTTTTATTCAAAATAGTTCTGGAAACATCAACCACAGCAAAGAGACAAGAGAAAGAAACAAAAGAAATGACTGGAAGATGACATCATACTCTATGTAAAAATTCCAAAAATTTCACAAAAAGTCTCCTAGATTAAATAACCAAATTCAGTAGCACGGCTGTATACAAATTCAACACTCAAAAATGAATGGTTGTCCCAAATACAAATAACAAGGTTACTGAATGAGAACTTATAGAAAATACACCTTTCACAGTGACATGATAAAAAGAAACACTTAGGAATCAACCTAATGAAAGAAAAGAACTTTACCTTCATTTATTTATTTATTTATTTTTATGTATTTAGTACAGAGTCCACAGAGTCTTCCTACACAGACCGGATGCATAGTGATTCTCCTGTTTTCAGCCTCCCAAGTGCTGGGATTACAGGCTTGCACCACCAAACCCAGTCTCAATCACCGTGTCAGCATGGTGCAAAGGCATAACTTTACCTTCAAAACTACAATATTCTGAGAGAGGAGATCAAATAAGTTATGACACAAGGAAATGATATCCCTTTTTCATAGGTTAAAAGAACCAATACAGAAAAGATGGCCAACTCAAATTTGTTAAATAGTTTTAATGCAATCTTAATCAAAATACCAGTATCATAAATCCCACTAAAGAAAAAATTCTCAATCAGAAAAGACCTAACACAGAAAAAGCAATGCTGGGCAATAATAAAAAGACAGGGGGGCATTACAATCCCTGCCTTGAAATTATACTACAAATCTACTGTGATTAAAAAAAAAAACAGCATGGTTCTGGAAAAATCCAGACCTAAGACAGATTATAAGATTGAAATAAAAAACTCCAAATACACTCAGCCACTTTATATTTGACAAAGGTCTTAAATGCCTTCACTACCAGAAAGATAGATTTTTTAAAGATGTGGTGCTAGGGAGAAAATGGCTTCCCACATGACGAAAATTAAACCTAGACCCATATCTCTCACCATGCACTAAACTAAAATCAAAGTGGATCAGACATCTAGATATGAAAACATAAACATTTAGTGTGCTCTGTGATAGGCTGTAGTTCTTTAAAAGACATTGCTGTAAGCAGACTTCATGAACAAAACCTCAATTGCTCAGGAAAGATTACAAACAATCAATAACTAGGAACAAATCATAACTTAAAAGCTTTTGCATAGCCAAAGAAATGATCCACAGAAAGAAGAAACCATACATAGAGGTTGGAAGCCACAGAAGCTAGAAATTGGTCAAATGTGTGAGAGTGGGACTTGGCCTCAGTGCCTAAGCAGTCAAGCTACCTAAGAACTGAGATAAGCATCCTGATTGGTTAATGTCTGCTATTAGTCTCTCGGTAACTCTGTGTCATGTGATACTGTTTGCAATGGTATAAATAAACACACATACCATTGTGTGGGGGTGTAAGAACCTGAAAGAGTAAGTAAAATCTGAAAGGCTCTCTCCCTGTGAGTGGCCTGAGGAGACCTGTAGAAATGGTTCGCTACTCTCTCAACCGAGAAAATCCCACAGAGTCATGCAAATCAAGAGGCTCAAATCTTCACGTTCACTTTAAGAACATTCATGAAATTGCCCAGGCCATCAAGAGCATGCATATCCGAAAGGCCAAAAAAGTATCTGAAGAGTATCACATTAAAGAAGCAATGGGTGCCATTCTGGCGTTAACAATGGTGGAGTTGGTAGGTGTGCCCAGGCCAAACAGTGGGGCTGCACACAGGGTCGGTAGCCCAAAAAAGAGTGCTGAATTTTTGCTGCATAAGCTTAAAAAAGCAGAGAGTAATGCTGGACTGAAGGGTTTAGATGTAGATTCTCTGGTTATTGAACATATCCAGGTGAACAAAGCGCCCTAGATGTGCCGCTCTACTTACAGAGCTCATGGCCAGATTAACCCATCCATGAGCTCCCCCTGCCATACTGAGACGATCCTTACTGAAAAGGAACAAACTGTTCCTAAATCAGAGGAGGAAGCTGCACAAAAGAAAAAGATATCCCCAAAGAAACAAAAACTTATGGCATAGGAATAAATTAAGCATAAAATAAATGCAAATACAATTAATGTTGTTTGCTGTCAGAAAAAAATCAAATCAAATCTGAAAGTCACAGTAGGTATAGTGAAAAGGAAAGAAAGTGTTCAAAGACAAGGACAAACTGGCATGAGGGAAAGGAAAAAGAAAGAAAAAGAAATATATATGTATATACATAGGAGAGCTTAGATAATTGTACTACATATTTCCCCTTGTCTATTTTTTTTATTTATTTGAGAGAGAGAGAGAGAGAGAGAGAGAGAGAGAGAGAGTGGTGTGTGTGTGTGGCCAGCTCAGCCCACCAGGGGGCGGGGCTGGCAGGCATGTGGTGCTGGGGGATTGAACAGCTGTCCCTGATGCTTTGCTAAGCTTGTTCTAAGTAGGTGCTTTAGACCACTGAGCCATCTCTCCAGCCCCTCCCCTTGTCTATTGAAAGAAGCAGTTAGTGCTGAAATTCTTTTGTCTTCTTTTTAATTTTTTATGATTTTTGATCAATTTTGCATGCATATGTCTGGTAATCTCAACAACTAATTTGAAGAAAACAATAAGCAATATAAAAAATATTGTTGAATTTCTATCATTTTGCTTAGTGAAATTCTGTATCCTTGAATTCTTTCTTTCTTGCTTGCTTTTTTTCTTTTACTATCTTTCATCCTCATAAAAAAAAAAAAAAACCACTGTTGCCTGCTTCTTGGGGAGATGTTGGAATCCTGGCAAATAATACTAGTGGTAGATAATGTTGGCCTATGAAGTGAACTAGAAGGATCTGGAGATGTGCAGAATTTATCTAGATGTTTTGATTTATAAAATGGGGAAATACTGTTTATTTGTTAAATGATTCTAAAGTATTAGCATTCAATAAGTATCAGAATTCCTATAATATTAATATAGGCAAATATGATTTCCTTTTATAGTTTGATAATAGGGATCCTGTGAGATAAAGTAGCTCATCTTAAAAATTCAGATAGGAAGCAGCCAGTAATTGCATTCAGGTCAGCTCTCTTCCCTTCTCTTCTCTTCTCTTCTCTTCTCTTCTCTTCTCTTCTCTTCTCTTCTCTTCTCTTCTCTTCTCTTTCTTCTCTTCTCTTC